CCCCAAAACCCCAAAACCCCAAAACCCCTTTTAAGAAGGCAGAGATTGAGGGTTTGGAATAATGGAGTTAGCAGTTTGTTTGGTGCTAAAATGTTTGTAATTTGTATGGTTATGTGGTATTTTGGGTATACATTATAAAACAGGTCTGATAATTTCATTTATTTGGCCATGGTTGTAATGTATAATATTTCCTTGCTTCGATACGAAGTCGGCTATTTCTCCTTCTTCCAAGGTTCTGATTCCAATCAAATCTTTTTTGTACACTTATGTATCGAACCTCGACACAATGTTGTAGTCGGGTGAGTACATGCCCACCATGATGACTCTCTTGGGATAATCGTGGTGTCTTGCTCCCATTTCACAAATCTTGCATGTTTGAAGGCGAGCCAGAGGTCTTTTCTGTTCTGGTCGAAGTTTCTCTCGTTGTTGGATTCAGCAAGGAACGTTGAGTGCTTGAGGTATCCTTGAGGATCGGCTGGATCTCTCCAGAAATCAGCTGGAGCTATCAAGTATTGCATGAAGTTTAAATATACAATTTTTTTGATGATCTAGGCTAATGTAGTTCCGAGCCATGTTTCTTTAGGAAAGGTAGGAACAAACAAAAATCCCATATGAGGCATCCAAAAGTAACAATGCTTTTGATTGGATGCTTAAGTTTGCAGCACTCGATGATATATTTGGATATCACAACTCTTTGAGATACTCCGAGGATACTCAAATTGCAATCCTTCAAGTATTCAATTTGATGAATTTTATCACACAAAATCTTGCCTTGATAATGAATATTATAGAACATCGATGACATTTTAGCTTCAGCTCCACTAAATACTTTGTTGTTTCAAAGTGAATATGGAGTTGCTCTTATCTAGACGATTGTTTCTCTTCTGAAAAATAAGATAATGAAATACCCTCTAAAGCATATCATAATTAGCATAATTAGTGCTCCATCTTGGTTATTTTTTAATAACGAAAACAACAGAACGAGAAAACCTTGACACATAGATTTTAACTAAGATAAAATAGAATTTGCACTATCTAGTGGGGAAGCTTGGCTCAATTTGACTTAAAAAATTTAGAGCTACTCATTAAAAATGATTTTGCCTTATCTCCAAGGTGAATAGATGAGTTCTGAGAATTGAAAAGGGTCCTTCATAAAGCTATCACAATAAAGGGAAGTACTTATAAAGCCCTGCACAGAATTTTTTAAATGAGCTAAAGAAAAGTTGCCAGAAATAAATAAACTCTAAAATCCCAAAACAAGAACGCTATAATATAAATAACCCCCCAAAGATCATAACAGCATCTCTAAAACATCTAACCAACCCCAAAAACACTAAACCCAAATAACCTGGCCAATATATAATATGCCCAGAACCTGACCTTGCCGCCTAGGTTTGACACAGTCCGTTCAGGAGAGGTTTTAGAAGAAGGATGGGAATAAGGAGTTTTAGTGGTGGAAGGGGGTGGTGGAGAGGGAGGGGATATGGAAGGGAGATTGGAGAGGGGGAGGGGAGATATGGGTGTTTAGGGGTTTTGGAGGGTGGGTCTTGAAGATTTTTAGGGGTGTGGAGAGGGTAGAGATGGTGGATATTGAGGGGGAATTGTTATAAGAAGATATAAGGCTTTTTTTTAGGGAGTTTAGCTTGATTAAGGGATTATTACTTTGTTTCGATGTTTATAGAATAATAGGGATGTCAATGAAAGTCTGGGGTGAATAAGAGGAGTTTAACCTCAAACGACATATGTTATGAGGTAAACTGTAGCCGGGATGACTACAATAACGAAAGCATTTTGTGTATCATCTCAAAACCGCTTCACACTGATTATAAAATACATACACCCATGACACTCTGACCCATCCTAGCTATAAAAACTCCCCTAATCACCTCAAATACATCAACTTTCCTATCCCTCAGGGGTTTTGGGGTTTTGGGGTTTTGGGG